GCAGGGGTGTCCACATACTTTTGGCCATATAGTGTGTGTGTGTATACACATATATAATTTATCTCCTTTTATATTTTTGTTACTTAGCCTCAGCGCAGCACTATGGATACGCTGCCTTTTTGTCGTTACCGTAGTTATTGTTGCCGTGGCAGCGCAGTGAGTCAGACGCAATGTCATGTTCTGCCGGTTGGTTTCCTTTGTTCAGCCAAACGAGACATGGCATATAGAGCGGGAGAGAAATAGGGAGAGATGTCAAAATATATTCTTTTCTGTAAATGCTGTGGAGAGGTTCTTTGTACTGCACATCAATTCTGAGAATAAAATCAATAGCTGCTCACTCTGCTACCGAATGAAGCTAAATAACATGATTTTTTAGCTGATAGGTGTGTGGAGTCCTCGAACCGAAAAGAACCGGTCCTGTTCTCCAGCAGAGCCGGGCTTTAATGTCTGTATAGTAAAGGGATTAACCTTCTCAGAGAAACCCGTCATGCCCTTCACATATTCACGATGAGTCATCTAGCAGCGGGAACGATCATTTTACCTTCATACACACGCACACGAGTCAGAGAGAGTCAGCTGCAAATCATAGCAACGTACGCTACCTGTCCAGAAGTATTGAGACACTCCCATTGCACACATCTTGTATAATCTCTATAGAAAAGCATTGACAATAGAATGGGATACTCTGGAACAGCTACACATGAGCCTAAGGTCACCAAGTGTGGATCTGTGTTCTCTGGAGTGATGGAGCTCCATCCAGTACCTTTGAGTCGGAGTGATCAAGAACTGACCATCCAACATCAGTACCTGACCTCACTGATGCTCTTGTGACTGAATGCAATCAAATGCTCACAGCAATTTTCCAACATCTAGTCAAGTCTTCTGGGACCCCTGATTTCAGAATGAAGGCTGGATAAACAGATATAAATCACTAAATATGCCCAAACATCTTTGTTTTTATTTTTTTAACTCATAACTACATAAAATAGTCTCTTGTTGAAATTTTTAAAACATTTTTGTTTAAAAATATGGATATTTGAATGACAGAAATGGTTAAAAATACCCATGGCTAATCTTATTCTTTCAACCTAGCCACCACAAATTGGTTTGGTATTATAAAATCACCACCTTCACGTACAAAGGTTAAATAAGGGTAACAGTTAATTTGCCTTTAAGAGTGATACATATGAATCAGCTCCAGTCTGATTGGCTGTCCTAGTAATGTACCTTATTCTAAAGCAAAAGCAGCCTGAGCTACAATATGGAACAAACTTTTAAGTTGGCACTGAAATCCTTTTAAGTTGGGGCGTGTGGATCCTTTGGAGGGCTGTAATCATTTGCTTCCTGACAGCCAGAAACAGCACAACATTTAATCGTTTTCCTACATTTTTGAATCCAATAACTGTCTGTTTCTGTCTCCACTAACTGCAGGGATAATATTCCATATCACTTCAATGGGAGTGGGCATGGCTAAACTGCTGTAGGCTGAATGGGTGGGGCTAAACTGCTGTAGGCTAAATGGGTGGGTCTAAACTGCTGTAGGCTGAATGGGTGGGGCTAAACTGCTGTAGGCTGAATGGGTGGGGCTAAACTGCTGTAGGCTGAATAGGTGGGGCTAAACTGCTGTAGGCTGAATGGGTGGGGCTAAACTGCTGTAGGCTGAATAGGTGGGGCTAAACTGCTGTAGGCTGAATGGGTGGGGCTAAACTGCTGTAGGCTGAATAGGTGGGGCTAAACTGCTGTAGGCTGAGTGGGTGGGGCTAAACTGCTGTAGGCTGAATGGGTGGAGCTAAACTGCTGTAGGCTGAATAGGTGGGGCTAAACTGCTGTAGGCTGAATAGGTGGGGCTAAACTGCTGTAGGCTCAATGGGTGGAGCTAAACTGCTGTAGGCTGAATGGGTGGGTCTAAACTGCTGTAGGCTGAATGGGTGGGGCTAAACTACTGTAGGCTGAATGGGTGGGGCTAAACTGCTGTAGGCTGTATAGGTGGGGCTAAACTGCTGCAGGCTGAACAGGCGGGGCTAAACTGCTGTAGGCTGAACGGGTGGGGCTAAACTGCCGTAGGTTAATTGGATGGGCTAAACTGCTACAGTACAAATGGATTGGCTAAACTGCTGTAGGCTCAATGGGTGGGGCTAAACTCCTGTAGGCTGAATGGGTGGGGCTAAAATGCTGTAGCATGAATGGTGAACATATGTAAATGCATTCATGTGACATCAGAACCATGACAGATTCAAAATGAGCTGTGTTTGCAGGTGCTGAGGCCACAATGTTTACACAGTACTTTAAACACTTTTATTTCACAAAAGCTTAGAAAACCTGGTCCATTCATGATACGGGTCCTTTAATGTGGTGTAAGTGTCGCAGTTATGAATACATCACCTTATCACTGACCCAAATGAACAGCATCCTTTACAAGCTAAGTGCCAATTACAGGAGTCCGCCTAGAAGTAATACAGCTGTCAGGTCTGCTCTCCTGGTTTACTTATTGAAATGTAAAACGTAATTGAATTCGAAGCCATTTTATATCGAGTGCAATCGTCGTTTGCATCAGTGTGTGGTGTCCGTGAATAATCGTCGTCCCTGTTTGCCTGGAGGAAGCTGGATCGTGGGTGCGACGGGCATATTTAGACGAGAGAGAGAGCCTGTAAGTACACATTGTTACCCTGAAGCGCATCTCTGGCTCCTGTAGTGAACAACATAGCGTGTGCATCAGCATTCAGATTGCTTGATAGTTCCATTATGTGTTGTAGCAATTTTACAGTTTTCAATTTGTGTTTAATAAGGCCAGAATAATACACGTTCTAATGCAGCCCATTAGAGCAACAGCAGAGTGAGAGAACGGCTGAGATTCAATCACACTGCACTGCTGTTTACTCCGTACTGCTGATTTGTTTTCGGCCCAGGTGCCACACGTTTCCATGGAGTTTGTTATCCAACACTGAAAGGGGAATTCCATCGTTTTCTCAAAATTTCTGCAGAGAGATGTAAACAGTCATTCAGAGTGGTTTGATGTGAAACTGTTCTCTGACTCACAGGGATGGACTGGCCACTGGGAGGTCCAGGACACCTCCTGGTGGGCTCCTAAGTGTGGGGGCCGCTGACAGAGCAAGAGAGAAAAAGAGAAACTGCATCAAATTATTTGTCCAGCTGCATTGTTGTTTCTAATGTAGTACCATACACACTGACCGGCTACTTCATTCAGTCCACCTCCTTGTTTCTACACTCATTGTCTATTTTATCAGCTCCACTGACCATATAGGAGCACTTTGTAGTTCTACAGTTACAGACTGTAGTCCGTCTGTTTTTCTGCACCCTGTTCTTCAGTGGTCAGGACCCCCATGGACCCTCACAGAGCAGGTACTATTTGGGTGGTGGATCAGTAACACTGCAGTAACACTGACGTTGTGGTGGTGTGTTAGTGTGTGTTGCGCTGGTCTGAGTGGATCAGACACAGCAGTGCTGCTGGAGTTTTTAAACACCTCAGTGTCACTGCTGGACTGAGAACCAAAAACATCCAGCCAACAGCGTCCTGTGGGCAGCGTCCTGTGACCACTGATGAATGACCAAAGGATGACCAACACAAACTGTGCAGCAGCAGCAGATGAGCTATTGTCTCCGACTTTACATCTACAAGGTGGACTGACAAGGTAGGAGTGTCTAATAGAGTGGACACTGAGTGGACACAGTGTTTGAAGTAACTGTAGTTTTTCAAAAGTTCTGCTCATCTTCAAAATGCATCATCAGAAGGGACGTTTTAAGTCTGTAAACTGGAAAATCTCACTCTAGAGATTACAGCATCACTGCTGTAGGGTGTGAATAGGCATGTTTAACACAGATGCAGCGATGGTTAAATGTTTAATTTTTTCTGGAGTGTCCCTTTACCTGTTTTCCCAAGACAGGAGTGTCCAGTCATATCCCCAGTGGGCCAGTTGGTCTTAGTCTTCACACAGTGATCATATGTGCTCCTGCTTTGTTGGAATGAAACCCTGAAGCCTGAAGATTTGACACCTTTATCCTACAGTAAATTCATCCATTTGGGTAAAACGGGCTCAACGGAGAGTTCCGGCAAAGGATTTGGCGCCACCTCTGGCACACTAGAAAAAGCGCCACAACAAAGATATGGGACGTAAGGGGCGTGACCATAGATATACATACCTAGATGCCGCGTTGGGTCCAATCAGGCACGTCAACGGCTCCGCCATATTAGGGCGGTCAACATCGCTGCAGGACTGCATTCAGTACCATTACAGAGCGGCAGTTTAAGAAAGATACTGTCCAAAATGACACTATTTCTGGAATATTACTCTCAGAAAGTGGGACAGGATTATATAACGGAGGGAATGCAGTGATCCACACTCATGTTGTGGATGTGATGTTTGTGATGTAGTGATATATGGCCGTGTGGTTAATGTGGCACAGAGAACCTGTTGATATGATTGTTTTTCCTGTGGTTTTATATTAAGTTTATTTCATTTAATAGTCTATTCAGGGGATCTTAACTTTATGTAGTAGTTATTTATTTACAGTGATGTTTAAAGCTTTGTATCTCATTAAGTTCCTTAATCCGTGTAGATATTCATAATAGATTAACTTCAGCACCTTATTACACGAACCTGAAGTTAGCTTCTTATTTGCCAGCTTTGGCGAATAGGAGACCAACTTTAGCTTCGTCCTTCTTACTGTGTTTTGGGGGGTTTATTTTATTTTTATGTGTATTAAGATGAGAAGTGATTATTTCTTTGATCAGTTATTAAAGTAATAAAAGCTACAGAGAGCAGATCCGTGCAGCCTGGATTAATCTGTGTCTGAGGATTATAACAGAACAGATTTGGTGAAAATCGGTTGAGTAATAAGGAAGTTATCGTCTCTCAATACAGGTGAACCTGTTCACTAGCGGATCTTGACCGCTCCAACATGGCGGACGCGCAGACGTATCGCCTCCCATAGAGAACAACAGACAACGCGGCATCTATGTATGTATATCTATGGGCGTGACGCAAACACGCTGACGCCGACGTCGCGACGCACGAAGTGGACTCGCTGAACTTGGAGGGAGAGCTTGGAGGAAATAACTCAATATTTTAGCTTCAAAAACGGTGCATAAGTATTAATATTTGACTTAAAGCGTGTTTTATTCCCTCTGTAATCTAATGCAGTTTTCCGGACTTGCATTAGTTTGGGCTGAACGGTTAGCCGACCGCTGACAGTGTAGTGGTAAAGCGGAGAGCTAACGCTACCGTCAGTCATTCAGTCTGTTATCTAACGCAAACTTTACTGTTTTTAAAGTATTTTCTGAATTATTTTGTTGTTTTTTCGGCCATTGTCGGTTTCTGCAAGGCCCATCCTGCCTTGTATCTGCTGGTTTGTGGCTTGTGACTATTTTTGTACCTGTGATTTACCGTAATAGCTCCTGTAGGAGTTCAGACTTCTCTAATTTGTCCGTGCCACCTTAAATGGTGCAGCAGTTACATTACAACGCCTGAGGCGCCAGAATGGAACTGCTGCACCATTTAAGGTGGAACGGGGAAATTCGAACGACCAGCTGGCGAATGTGAATGCAAGTTCAGCCTCATTTTAATCTCTGAGTTGAAGGGGAATTCCACCAGTTTTTCAAAAAATTTAGTTTCTTAATTTAATGGTGAGATGCAAAAGATCATTCAGAGTGGTTTGATATGAAGTGCTCCATTTTGGAGAAGCATACAGAGTTAGAACTGTTCACAGTGGTGGTGATAGGAACCAGACGTCCACCTCTTAAAGCTCCCTCACAGAAAGAAAGTCCAGGTTGTCACAAATACAATGTCTGATGTTTGGGATGTTGTTCTAGAAAACGTTTTTTTTTCAGATTTGCCAATATTTCATCATCATCAACGATCCATATAAAGACTCAGAAGACTTGTGTAGGTTCACTGATGGTTTTGGATAGTAAATAAAATGTCTATCTGTGTGTTGTAGTCATGGTGACCCCTGGTTCCTATCACCACCACTGTAAAGACATCAGAATCTATAAATTTCCTTACGGTACTCCATTTCACACCAAACCACTCTGAATGAATCTGTTTACATCTCAAACACTGGATTATAAAGCAATTTTGTAAAACTGTTGGATTTCCCCTTTAGCTTTTCTGAGTATACTATGGAGATTTATTACAGGAAAAAATGCAATGAAACTGTTATTCAGTAGGAGCAGCAAATAACATGGCAACAGACAAGGGCTGTCTGTGAGCACTTGCTGAAATAATCTGTTGAAATTCTCTAATGTAGTGCCTGTAAATCCTGGTCCTGGAGTAATTTACCACCGCCCTGCAAGCTGTAGTGTTCTCCACCCATTTCAACTCAGAAAGGCTTATTAAAGGCACAGATTTTTCAACATTTCTGCGTAATTCAGTGGATTCAATGTAAACAAAGTCATTCAGAGTAGAGGTTTCTTACAGTGGTGATTGTAGGAACCAGGCATTGCAATGTCACAATCATAGCCGTCTTATTTACCATCCAAAACCACCAGTGAACCTACACTTCTGAGTTTTATTTGTAATGTAGATGATGGTAAAATAGTGGAAAATCTGAAAACGTCAAGTTTACTTAGGGGACTGTTTTGCCTTAGAAACACTCTTCTGGGACTTTTCAGACATCAGGCAGTGTGTTTGTAATAATTTCATGTAGTAACTTTCTGTGAGGGAGCTTTTAGAGGTGGACGTCTGGTTCCTATCACCACCACTGTGAACAATTCTGACTCAGTAAGTTTCTCTAGAACGGAGCGTTTCACACCAAACCACTCTGAACGACTCTGTTTACATCTTAACCGTTTATTAAAGCAGAAGTGTCAGGTGTGTGGGCTGCAGGGGAAGCTTTGAAGTTCCAGGGCTTGGATTGAAAATACTGCTCAAATGTCCCATAACTTTCCTACTTTTCTTATCCTGTAGGTTTGGAGTCATGGCGTTAACCCAGGTGTCATCCAACAAGTGCTGTGGTGGCTACCAGAAAGTGTTTGAGCATGACAGGTACAGCCAGTTGATGTTAATGTATTAATATTGATGTTGTTCATATATATGGACCAAAAGAAACGACCTAAAATACATACATCATCTAAACCGCTTATCCTTCTGGGTGGGGTGCTGGACCCTATCCCAGCTGTCATTGGACGGAAGGCAGGATACACCCTGGACAGTTCGCCAGTCCATCGCTGGGCAGACAGACATACAATCACACACACACACACACACACACACACACTCACACCTAGGGGCAGTTTTAGCATGTCCAATTGGCCTGACATGTTTTTGGACTGTGGGAGGAAACCCACGCAGACACGGGGAGAACAGGCAAACTCCACACAGAAAGGAGCCTGGTCACCTGGCCGGGAATCAAACCCAGGCCATTCTTGCTGTGAGGCAACAGCGCTACCCACTGCACCACCGTGCTGCCCACGACCCAAAATGACTTGGAAAAAAGTCTGGTTCCATTGACTTACATTAAAAGTAAAGTATGTTTTTTCCTTCTCCATTTTGGAGATATGAGGTTTTTTTCAGACGGCGATCTATATACGTATATGTAATGTGTGTGTGTGTGTGTGTGTGTGTGTCTATATATATATATATATATATATATATATATATATATTTTATATAAAGTACAATATTCATTCCAGTGAAGTTCTAAATGTGAGTTTTTTTTTAAAAGTTTTCCAACTTTAGCAGCGACGTTTCCAACCACGATCTGCGTTAATTGCAAGCAATGAAAAAAGGTTAATATTTGATTTCCCTGCAGCTTGTTTCCATCAAACGAACATTTAGCGACAAAAATCTTTACGTAATGACATCATTTCCTACAAAAACTGTTGTCGAATAAATTTTGGCTTATTGATTAAAAAAATTTGACGTTTGCATCTTTAATTTCATGTTTGTTACATTTGTGCTCCTTTGGCTTCCTATAATCTACTGATAAGGTAATTCTGTTTCTTTTATTTTATTATTTTACTTTATTATTATTATTTTTTTTTTTCATTATGAATCTTTACAGAAGAGGCGACGTTCCTCTTCCCTGCAGAGCTGTTTGAGTTCTTTTCATTAGAAATGCTGTAGTCTTTTCAGCTCATCTCTCTCTGTAAGAGCTGAAAAGTGTCAGCGCTCTCGTCTCGTCCTCAGTCCGGCTCTGCCTCTTCAGTTTCCAGTGTAGGTTTTGCAGCATTATAAGTATCTATAAACATTTTATCCGCTGAAGTTTAACAGAAAGAACTTTTTTATTCCATAGCCTGTCTTGACAGTCCTTTGGATAAAAACGTAGCTCGTGCTGCTTTAAAGGACTTCTATAATGGAAAAAACACATTCATTGCTTTTTTTTTTTTGCAGTAAGTGTTTTATGTAGTAGGTAAACATTGTTAAAATTTTAAAACATACTGTTCACTCACTGTATATGGAAACTGAGCTGCGAAAACAGCCCATTTTGTGATGTCACAAAACACATTTACATATTGTCAGGTGCAAACGTTTGAGCTCCCTGGTCAAACCATGTGTTTTCTTGATGTTCTAAGTGCGAGTAAGTTACAAATCCTCTGCGGAGAACACGTCTGCACATTTTAATACACAATTTCTCTTTATTTTCTGAGTTAAAACATCAAGAGTGCCATAACTTTTGCACAGGATCCCCCCAGTATGTTAGATTCAGCAAATAGACAGTAATTAAAAATTACAGTTAAAGTGTATTGAGATGTGCAGAAGTGCGTTCTGTGTAGAGAACGTGTTCATTTATTTTCACGTAGAACCTCATTGTGCTTTAAGCAGCAGCGTCCAAACTTTACACTGTATTTTCATTTTTCAGCTCCGAGTTAAAGTGCAAAATGAAGTTTGCCATCTACCTTCCTCCAAAGGCAGAAAGCGCCAAATGTCCCGTGCTTTACTGGCTCTCAGGTACATCAATGACTTCTCTCTGTTATTCTAAAGCACAGGAAATATGCAGTATTACTGTATAATATTAACAGTCTTACCTGCACTTTCACAACAAGAGGGATATTATTTAAGACGGGTTATTATATTTTATACAACAGTTAATTCCGGCCACGCAAGCTGATTGGTTGAGAAACGCTCTAACCGTGCTGTTATTTCACCATAACATCACGGGTTTATTCACACACTGTATCACTTCGCTAAGACGCCGTTGCTACGCAACGACTTTGACAGCTGTAGGAGACGCTCAAGCCATTTGAACGTTTTTACTTCTTACTTTGCCACAAACAGAAAATGGACACTTTTAAGATCACATTTGACCGACAGCCGATTTGGTCAGACTCTGAAGATGAGACGACACTAAATTCCCAAACTGTCATCACCACTGAGCAGCTTTTCAGTCGGCAGCTGTGACAGAAGAACAGCTAAACAACCTGGAATCAGCCAGAAATTAACCCAACACCATTCGCCAAACTAAACGGGCTGTAAGATGCTTTACAGACTGGCTGGAACAAAACAACATTAATACTGATCTGGCAAAAAATGACAAAACTGAGCTGAACTTGATATTGCGGCAGTTTTATGGCTCAGTCTGCACTTCAAAAGGGAAGCTTACAGCAGACTGTGCAGCGAGTGGGCGGAGCTCGTTACTCTGACGTAGCAACAAGCTGCTCGTTAAGGAACTATAATTTGGTGAAGGAACTGCGAACATTAAAACATATTAAACGCCGCGTTCACGGCCCAGTTTATTAATTTATTACTGTATTTATTTAACTGTTGTATAAAAGCAATAGAACACTCGAGGAGTGTGTTATCGGCAATAACATCACGGCTGTGATGATCTACGGCGACCAAATCACAGCCGTGATGTTATTTCACGATAACACACTCCCTTTGTGTTCTGTTGCCTAAACATAGCAGTTTGATTTAGATGAGCTTTTTCAACCATCTGTAAAATTGCGTTGTATACATTAAATATATAAAATGACATTTTAAAATTATTATAGTGCAGAATTCAGCTGATTTATATGAAGCTTTAAAGAAATAACAAGCTTTTGATTATGAACAGATCTGTAAATGATTCTAAAAAGACCAAGAAAGCTGTTCAACAAACTTAATATCCAGGATGTCGTACATTTCCGAACTTGTTATTGTTCCCAAAATACATGAAATATTTAATGCAACACGTTTGTGTCTAATATTGCATTTAAATATACATTGTATGTTGTTATTCAAAAATCTTGCATGTGACAAGTTAATCAGACATTTTAAAAGGTATATAAACATTGAAGCGGCTAGCTTAGTAGTTTTTATCAGTTTTCTGAGTTTATAGGATTTTATATAGATTAACAACGTTGTGTTTAGGTCTCTCACAGCTGAGCCCCTGCAGAAAACAGTAGAAATTACATTGTTTTGTAAAAATCATATAAACATGGTGTGACATTGTTTGTTGGCGTGTATTTAAAATGAAGGGATCACTAAAACGGAAGGAAAGTGCGTTTTGGCTTTTTAATGAAACAGTTGCACAAAAAAAATTCAAAAAAGTGTGGAATGGTTAATATATTGCTTTTCGTTGGAGAGGCTTAATTATTAGAATCGCCTAATTGTCCAGTCATTTTCCACAGTTGTTAGATTTCGGTCATATTAAGCTGCAACACACAATATGAATTGAGTGTTTTGGGTTGAGGCAAATAAATGTAAATGAAAGCACGTAGTAAACGCCTTCATTGAGACATTATGTGTGTGTGTGTGTGTGTGTGTGTGTGTGTGTGTGTGTTAGGGCTGACATGCACAGAGCAGAATTTCATCACAAAAGCAGGAAGCCAGCGGGCTGCATCTGAACACGGCATCATTATCGTGGCCCCGGACACCAGCCCACGTGAGTAAGATAAACGTGCCATTAGTCATGAAAGTGTAGAACTGCGCCCTCTGCTGGTTAAGGTGAGGGCTGTAACGGAAAATGTAAAAAAGTGTGGTTAAAAATTACAAAACTCCAGCAGCACTGCTGTGTCTGATCCACTCAGACCAGCACAACACACACTAACACACCACCACCATGTCAGTGTTACTGCAGTACTGAGAATGATCCACCACCCAAATAGTACCTGCTCTGTGAGGGTCCATGGGGGTCCTGACCACTGAAGAACAGGGTAAAAGGGGGCTAACAAAGTATCAGAGAAACAGATGGACTACAGTCTGTAACTGTAGAACTACAAAGTGCACCTATATAGTAAGTGGAGCTGATAAAATGGACAATGAGCGTAGAAACAAGGAGGTGGTCATATTGTTACGCCTGACCGGTGTACACTCTCACTGTGATATTTTGTGTTAGGTGGCTGCAATATCGAAGGAGAGGATGAAAGCTGGGACTTTGGAACAGGTGCCGGTTTCTATGTCGACGCCACACAGGACCCCTGGAAGACCAATTACCGCATGTACTCCTACATCACTGAGGAGGTTTGTGTTCGTGAGTGAACCCTCAGGATTTTACATGAGGAAAGTGTTGATTGCGCTGATCTCTCTCTGTCTCTCTCTCAGCTGCCCCGGCTTATAAACTCGAACTTCCCTGCTGACCCGGAGAAGATGTCCATCTTTGGTCACTCTATGGGTGGTCATGGTGCTCTCATCTGTGCCCTGAAGAACCCTGGGAAATACAAGGTCAGCAGAGCACACACGGTTTAACAGTTCCGGATCAGAAAGTGAGCATGGCTTCAGTTAAGTTACCCTTTATTAATCCCACAACGGGGGGGATTCCCCTCCGCATTCAACCCATTTGTGTAGTGACACACCCACATACACACTAGTGAATAGTGAATACACACACTCTGAGCACACTGTCCCTATCCGCCCTATCCACAGCGCCTGTGGAGCAGTTTGGGGTTAGGTGCCTTGCTCAAGGGCACTTCAGTCTGTCAGCTGTCGGCTCAGGGGATCAAACTTAGGATGTCTGATCACTTCAGAATTCGATTGTGGGGGCTAAAGATTGGGGGGCCCCCAACCAGAACTGGTATGAGGTGCTGAAAGTGGGTATATGTCCTGAGCACAATGACTTAAGCTGGGCCTACACTACACTATTTTTTGCCCCTTGTGACAAATTTTCACAACCTGAAGTGATTTTCCAGGTCGGGAGCTCGATCGGAAGCATCTGACAGCGCAGATGATCTAGTAATGTGAGAGGAGAAGCGAGTGAATCTTTAGCCCCCCAATCGAACTCTGAAGTGATCTGAGACCCTCTGATATTATCAGACACGTTTAATATTTACGACTCAAAACGTTCACGAGTCCTGTAGTGAGAGATGAACTCAGTGAGTGATTCAAACAGCCAATCAGGGAGCTAGAAGAGCGGAGGAAAAGGCAAAGAGCCTGACAGAGGAGCTGTGTGGAAAACACAGACAGATAAGAGCCAATATTATGTTTATAATGTTGATCCAGACGTCTGGTCTCTCTCATTAGAATTTCTAATGGGTTTCTCATTAGGCTGAATGAATAACCAACTCTAAATGTAGGTATTGTGATATAAACTGAGTCTGTTCTACAGTTTCTCATTAGGCTGAATGAATAACCAACTCTAAATGTAGGTATTGTGATATAAACTGAGTCTGTTCTACAGTTTCTCATTAGGCTGAATGAATAACCGACTCTAAATGTAGGTATTGTGATATAAACTGAGTCTGTTCTACAGTTTCTTATTAGGCTGAATGAATAACTGACTCTAAATGTAGGTATTGTGATATAAACTGAGTCTGTTCTACAGTTTCTCATTAGGCTGAATGAATAACCAACTCTAAATGTAGGTATTGTGATATAAACTGAGTCTGTTCTACAGTTTCTCATTAGGCTGAATGAATAACCGACTCTAAATGTAGGTATTGTGATATAAACTGAGTCTGTTCTACAGTTTCTTATTAGGCTGAATGAATAACTGACTCTAAATGTAGGTATTGTGATATAAACTGAGTCTGTTCTACAGTTTCTCATTAGGTTGAATGAATAACTGACTCTAAATGTAGGTATTGTGATATAAACTCAGTCACTAGCACTAAGACTTGCTACATCTAGTTCTACCTTTGTTTTGTTTCTGCTCTTCTGTGTAGGCTGTGTCTGCGTTTGCCCCCATCTGTAACCCAATTCAGTGTGCCTGGGGTCAGAAGGCCTTCTCTGGATACCTCGGACCGGACAAATCCACCTGGGAGGTGAGGAGAGAGAATGGTGTGTGTGTTGTTATTGTTGCGGTAGCAGTAGGGATGTGAGGTACACAGATCAGGCATAACATTATGACCACCTCCTTGTTTCTACACTCATTGTCCAAAACTCCAGCAGCACTGCTGTGTCTGATCCACTCAGACCAGCGTAACACACACTAACACACCACCACCACCACGTCAGTGTTACTGCAGTGCTGAGAATGATCCACCACCCAAATAGTACCTGCTCTGTGAGGGTCCATGGGGGTCCTGACCACTGAAGAACAGGGTAAAAGGGGGCTAACAAAGTATCAGAGAAACAGATGGACTACAGTCTGTAACTGTAGAACTACAAAGTGCACCTATATAGTAAGTGGAGCTGATAAAATGGACGAGTGTAGAAACATGTTATGCCTGATTGGGGAATAAGGTGATAAAGAGTATTTAACTTTCAAAATAAAGGCTAATTTCTTAATAATAATAGTAATAACAATGACAGTTTTATTACTGTAATTGTTATTATAGTATGAACATAAATGTTTGATGTATCCAAAACAATTAAAACTATGAACAGTATCAGTAATACAAACAGTCTCAGACAGAAGATCCCAACTTTTCCTTCGATCTACTCTTTGCTCTGCAGGCGTACGATGCAACGGTCTTGGCCGCCTCCTACTCCGGCCCCGAGCTGGACATCCTGATCGATCAGGGCCGTGAAGACCAGTTCCTGTCTTCCAGTCAGCTTCTACCTGATAACCTGATCGCCGCCTGCTCAGAGAAGAAGATACCTGTGGTGTTCCGACTGCAGCAGGTCAGTACTGCCCCCCTTCTGTCGGACTGTTATGTTACTGAAATACCTTTAGTGTTTAAAGTGTAATTAAGACTTCAGTACATTTAATAATATTTCTTTTGCTTTTTAAAATTTTGAAACTGTCCTTTTTTACTTCAGAGTGGATTATTCACTCCTGAGTATTTGAATTCTTATATATTATTCATTTTTGTCATTAACATGTTTGTTTAACTAAGATACATTCATTCAGAAGTCAAGTCTGTACATATGCTCATTTTGTAATGTATTTTCCTCTGTCAGGGCTACGACCACAGCTACTACTTTGTGTTCTCGTTCATGAATGACCACATAAAGCACCACGCCAAGTACCTGAACGCATAAAGCGGCTCCAGTTCAGTTTGTCCAGAAAACAACCGACAGCCTTTTGTGCCTTTCGGAGCAACAATACACAGTAAAACACCTTCATTTTGCATTGCTGAGTGGTATGTATGGCTACAGTGTTGGTCAATCATGTTTTTGTCTGTTTTTCCTCCAATAAAGGCTACTGGTTGTTAGTTTCATATGTGTGGGCCTCATGGGTGGTGTTTCAGAACCAGTGATGAACCCTGAATAAATGTACAACTCTTCAGTGTTTTATTTGCCATGTCTAAGTAAAACCAGCAGGAAAAACATTTCAATAATAAGAACCTAAACATTAATACACACAAAGTACACCGATCAGGCATAACATTGTGACCACCTCCTTGTTTCTACGCTCATTGTCCATTTTATCAGCTCCACTTACTATATAGGTGCACTTTGTAGTTCTACAGTTACAGACTGTAGTCCATCTGTTTCTCTGATACTTTGTTAGCCCCCTTTTACCCTGTTCTTCAGTGGTCAGGACCCCCATGGACCCTCACAGAGTAGGTACTATTTGGGTGTTGGATCATTCTCAGCACTGCAGTAACACTGATGTGGTGGTGGTGTGTTAGTGTGTGTTGCGCTGGTCTGAGTGGATCAGACACAGCAGTGCTGCTGGAGTTTTTAAACACCTCAGTGTCGCTGCTGGACTGAGAATCGTCCACCAACCAAAAACATCCAGCCAACAGCGTCCTGTGGGCAGCGTCCTGTGACCACTGATGAAGGACTAGAGGATGACCAACACAAACTGTGCAGCAGCAGATGAGCTATCGTCTCTGACTTTACATCTACAAGGTGGACTGACAAGGTAGGAGTGTCTAATAGAGTGGACAGTGAGTGGACACAGTGTTTAAAAGCTCCAGCAGCACTGCTGTGTCTGATCCACTCGTACCAGCACAACACACACTAACACACCAGAGAGAATGATCCACCACCCAAATAGTACCTGCTCTGTGAGGGTCCATGGGGGTCCTGACCACTGAAGAACAGGGTAAAAGGGGGCTAACAAAGTATCAGAGAAACAGATGGACTACAGTCTGTAACTGTAGAACTACAAAGTGCACCTATATAGTAAGTGGAGCTGATAAAATGGACAATGAGTGTAGAAACAAGGAGGTGGTCATAATGTTACGCCTGATCGGTGTATAATTGGGGAATAAAAGTGTTTTTTTGACAAACATATAATCAACTAACTAATTTTAATTTTACTTATTTAAAAAAATCAAATATTCTTTTTGCTGGTTTAACTTTTGCCTGCAGTATTAATTAAAAAGGAAGCTAACAGAACTGAAGCACTGTGTAAACAAGATTTTTTTTTAAAGCAACCTACATATCTGAGCTACAAATGAACACAAACTTATAAAACACGTGTTTTTGATGAATAAATGATGAGTGACTGTTTATATTAATAACTTCATATAACTAGTAGAAAGTTATTGAGTTATATGAGGGAATATGGGGCGTCTCGCATTGTTTACTTGGGGGTCTAACAGTGTAGCGCAGTGTTGTGCAGGCTGTACTTTAGCCTGGTTAGGTCTCACTGAGCATGTTTATGTGCACTTAATCCGATAAGTGCAAAAAATCAGATTTTGTCAGTAATCCAATCAGCGTTTACGTGCACTTGGGTAATCAGATAATGGGGAAACACTGTATCTACATGAGTCGGACAGTAATCAGCTTTCTGCTTTAGTACCAATAAACTTGCAGAATAAGACGAGACGTAAATGTAACATAAAATTCAAACTTCATGCTGCAGCTTAAACATCGCACCACTTTACCTGAAAATATGAACAGACATCATCTAGAAGATGAAGATTATTTAAATCCCTCATTTTGTCAAGCATGTATTTAGTTTCAGTGTCGCTCCAAAAGGGTTTTGCTGTGCCTCATAGCGACACTGTTTACTTATTTCCGGTACCGCCGTCTGTTTTCGCACATGCTCAGACTGAGAAATCCGAAAGAAATCAGAGTAAGAGTTTACACTGAGAAACCTGATTACTGAGCTAAAATCCAGCCTCTTTATCCGATTTCTTAATCAGATTTCTAGACCTTGCTCTGATCTAAGAAATCAGAGTGTGCTGTTTACATGACCATTATAATCAGATTATTGAGTGCATGTTAACGCACTCATTGTGAGCTGGAGAAAGTAGGAGAAAGTTACTGTTACGATATAGAAAGTCTTCAAACTGAACCTGGAGAAACATCTGTCTGATTTTAATATCGGTCCAGATGGATGACGTTGCTATGGGAATACAAAAAGAGAACCAAAAGGAGGAGGGAGGGGGGGTAGCCTTAAGGGTGTGGGGAGAAATAATAATTAATTAATTAATTAAATCAGTAAAATGGAACATATTTTGATTCAGCAAATATAGGAAAATATACAGAGAAATAAGTAAAACACCTGAAGACCACTAAGCCGTCCCACCCGAACAGAAATTCAGAAATTCACAAAAGAAAAGACCAGGCTTTTTTTTTATTATTTATTTTTTCTTTTAAGGTAAATGTATTTACTGGAAAAGGAGGTGAAAATACACATTATATACAAAAGTTAAGGCAAACCGTGAAGACGTGAGATGCATGCTGTTCCCATTAAATCACTGCTGTACACTCAAAGGGCCTAGTGTTACAACGTGGCAGAATATTCTACAGTACATCATCAAAAAGTTTCGAAAAGCGAATATGTTCATCATCTCATTCGTAAAAAGTACAAACATTTTTAAAACAAGTTTTTCGATCCATATACAATAAAGAAAGGAACAGTACAAAATACAAAACAATAGCTACTCGACATTCAGCAGGTAACAAAAATATCCCATTCTTTCCTACTAATTTAGGAAAAAAAATTACAGTATTGAAGTCCATCATTTCAATTTTTTGTCACTCCTCATCGCACTGTCACTTCTACATCTACTACTATTACTATTTGTCAGTTGCCAAAATATAAAGATCAAGAATATTTTGTGCAAAAACACTGTCACACCAAAATCCACATTAAACACGACAAATTTCTAAGATAATTTAATCTATACTCAAAATTTTACAGCTGATCTTATTCTATTGTTTATATCTCTGAACTTTAAATACAGAATTCTGTAACTTGCCAGTACAGCTGTGGTTTGCATACAGTCGATTAGCGTGTTTGAAATGTTGGAATACAGACAAGGTTGTTTTTTTTCCAAAAA